GAGGCAAATTAAAAATAGTTTTTTATGGATCAGCTGTTTTGTTTTGTTTCCTGTGTACATGTGTTCTTGCGAATGTTTATTTAGTCTTGTTTTCAAACTGTCCATCGAAAAGGGCGATATCACTGTCTCGGGCAGAGTGTTCCAGTCATCTATCGCACTCGTCCTGAAAAAATTTCTTCTCAGTTCAAGGTTTGACTTCGGAATAAGTTGCATATTGATACCTCTCGTCTCTCGGTTGCTTATCTCAAATAATTTTCCAGTTGCGTCGTAGTCATATCGTCCCGTCAAAATTTTAAAGATTTCGATGATTCGACCCCTCTTTCTTCTGTATCGTATTGTGGGGATTTTTGGAGTTCTTGAGCGTTCCTTGTAATTTTCCTCGAGCTTAAATACTAGTCGTGTCACCCGTCTTTGTACGTTTTCAAGCATAACTATACGTTTCTTCGAGAAAGGGTATCAAACTTGATTGGCATCTTCTACTTGAGGTCTAACCATCAGTTTGGAAAGATTTTAGAAAGTATTTTTGTCAAATTTTATAAAGCTGTTTTTGATAACACCGAGTATGGAGTTTGTCTTTCCAATTTTCGAAAGTAATTGTTTCTCAAATTTTAGGTTGTGGTCTATCATCACTCCAAGATTTTTCTCAGACAGTACTTCTTTCCTTACACCATTTCAAATTTGGTATGATATTTGTTTTGTACTTTTCTTGGTCTTTAAAAAAATGACTAGAAAACAAAAAAGTTTTCTAGAAAACAAAAAAAACTATTTTTTTCAAAGTTTACATTTTTTGTTGAAATTTTTGGTTTCCGAAATGAAATTAAAAAACTTTTCCGTTTTCCCCGCGCATTTCAAGTTTTTTCTATTTTTTGAATTGTCTAACGTGTTTTTCAGGCTGAACGAGTGATGTTACGAAGTAAGGCACGAAGAACAAACGTGCTCACCATGCAAACTTGTTAATTTTTTCACCATGCAACTTTTCATTACATTATGACCACGTCAAATTTGTTTTTCAAGGCTGAATTTCACTTGTGAAGGGAAAGTGGAAAAGAGCCTTAAAATAAATTTTAGTCGAGTAAAACTGATTTTAGGCACACTTAAGCTATTCTAATTGGCTTAAATTAAGCATAAATAAGCCTGTTCGCTCGCTTTATTCGCTCGGAATGAGAGCAAAAATTAAAATTTTAAACATTTTTTCTTGAATCACGACTGAAAGGGCTTCAATATGATAAATTACTCAATCCATTCCGTCGATTTTTTGTGGTAAATGATTTTGTGTGGAAAATAAAAAAATAAAAAGAAAAAACTGGAACACACTGGAACAACTAAGCTCTTTTCAGTCCCCCCCCCCCCCATAACATCAAGTTTTGTATTTTTTACATTTGTCTTACTTGAATTTATGGCTAAATGCGTGATGTTATGCTGTAAAGTATGAAGAACAAATCTGTTCACAGTTGTCGATTTGTTCACCACGCCAAATTTCATTGCATTATGACAAGGTTAAATAAGCTTTTCAAAATTGAATTTGAAGGGGTAGAAGAGCCGAACTTTGGCATGCTGAACAAATAAACTATTGTGAAGAAATTTGTTCATGGCTTTATTTGTACTTCCCTTTCACAAGATTTCGCAGAAGTTGCATGCATCTGGTGTAGAGGCAGCACATCTGCTGGAAAGCCAATTCGAATCCGCCCGGAACCTGATTTTTTCAAGCTAGAAATTTTATGCTTTTCGGAATATCAGCGGTATATTTCATTCTTTATTTGTTAGTTTCATTGTTTTGCTTGAAAAAACTATTGCTTTTAATTAAATAATTGTGAAGTTTTGCCTCGTTTTTTTTCTAACGTTCACCGAGTAATTACGTATGCTATAATTGTGCCCGCAATAAGCTTATTCTAGGGCACTTACTTAGTTCTGTCGAATTTTTTTTGTAAACAACGTGTTCAACAAAATCATTGAATCAGTTTGTCAAATCTGTACCTTCGTCAACCAACAGACATATTTTGAGCATGAGCATTTAAAATACCCGTTCTTTGTACAGTAGCGCCAACTTAGTTTGTAATCAAGAATCTTCTTTTTTTTTCGAACCTAAGTCACAAATATTGGTGCCACTTTTGTGGCACATTTACAGCTTTTTGATAGCATGTGCCTTGACATTCGAATAGTAATAACTTAACGCAGTTGATGCATTTTTAATTCATCAATGAACCGAGAAAATTGATTTGTTTCAAACAACATAACAATAATGAAAACTCCAACTCAATATATCGCAATTTTTTGAAATTCATAATTTATACATAATATGGCTTTATGCTTTGCGATTTGTTACAGGCCAAGTTAGTGTAGATGCCTTCAGTTTGTTATATTTCAAATTATTATCGCCTTTTCTAGAACTGCTTTTTGTCGTGTTCTCGCTAGTGTTTGCGAAGCGGAGCTTCGCTTCTGTGTCAATACCTGTCTTTCATCTTGGTGTTAAAATTACCAGCTCTGGTTCGGTATTGTTTTTTTTATTGTTATTTTTTTTCTCTGCTGCACTCAGTAAGTTTTCTCGGTTTATACTTATTTGGCTTACTGGCAATATATTGCTTCGCTTGGGTGTTTTCCAGTTTCCCCTTTCAAATTCAATTTTGAAAAGCTTGTTAAACGTTGTCATAATGCAATGAAATTTGGCGTGGTGAACAAATCGACAACTGTGAACAGATTTGTTCTTCATACTTTACAACGTAAAATCACGTATTTAGCCGTAATAACACGTAAAAAATCATAAAACTCGTTATTTTGAAAGGGGAAAACTGGAAAAGAGCCCATCGCTTGAGTTTTTGATGTTTGATGTGGTAATTTAATAATACGAAAGATAATATTTTTTTATGAAAACATTTTTTTTGGCTCATGAAGTGTCTGCTCAAAAATGTTCGGCTTTTATACATCTTGGTTCCTATGCAAATACAAGTTTTCTCATTTCTCATGTTTGAGAGTCGATGAACGTAGGTCAGACTCTTTTATAGGTCGTGATGATTTTTTTTTCGTTTTTCAGGAAAATTTGAGCAGGCGGTTTGACTTGCGATTTCTCTTAAGTTCAATTCATCTCCTTCGTTGAAAGGAAGGCAAACTCCATTATGGAACAGCGAAAGTCTATAAGTCAAGAAAAACGTGATCAAATTCTTTTTTTGAAAGTGGAACTTAATTATCGAGTTTTCTAGCGAAACAAAAATACTCCTTAATCCATTTTTCTGTAATTGGATTAATTTTTATCAAAGTTTTAAGGCCATCCATTTTTTCTTTGAAATTCGAAAATTGAGATTTATTCAAAAAGTAATTCAGTTTTTTTCTGTTCACTTGCGTTTATTGACTCTTTTCCAATTATCTGTGAACTTAATTCAAGACAAAGATTTAAAAATTTTGGTAGATCCAGCTTTTCTCAACATTTTCAAAACTTTTTTTTCCGATTTAGCGGGTTTCCTTTCAATTTCTGTCTGCTAGTTTGGCGTGTTATGCTCGGTTGTATCGGAAGTGGTGCGAAGCTCTCCTTCGCCTCTGTGTTGACTCTGAAAATTAAAAATCACGCATCAAGCCATGTTATAAAAATAAATACAATGGAAATAGGAAATTTGTTGAGTGGGGAAGGTAATGGAAATGAGTACTGTCTTATGATTGCGTCTCTGGCTTTTTTACTGGAGGCTGGGCTATAATTGGAAAGAACTTAATTTTTTGATTTCAATCGGTTATGTTTTTGAGGAGTTTGCGGACTGAATGAATAAATGTCGCAGTTTAGTTTTTGTCGCAGCTTAGTTTTCAATCTTTTGAATAAGACAGCAAAATACTTTTTTTCCGCAAAAAAGCTTAAGCTAACAAACCCAAGCCATGAAGGCGTAGGTCATGAAGCCGACGAAAAATGCGACCCTTTTTGGGAGAGAAAATTCATACAAAAATCCACTGACCAAGCTATTATGAAAAAATTTTGATACTTTTCGCTGGAAACTCCCCTTCATTTTTTGAATAAGAATTTATTTAAAAAAGAAAAAGATTTGATCACTTCAAGTCTTGTTCCCTATCATAACGATTTTTCTTGAGCTTACAACTTATGATTGCCATATGATTGCTTTATTTGCGACAAAACAATATGATTGCTTTATTTATTGGTTTTTTCTGGTACAGTTGGTTTTTATTGGTTTTTCTTGGTTTTTCTTATTATTTATTGGTTTTTCTGGTATATATCTCATTTTCGGCTCAACGAGTTTAAGCCCAAGCTTTGTCGGATTAGTTGCCTCCCGAAAAATTTTTCTGAATACTTGTTTCACTTGCCGGACATGTGGTTCCTCTAATCTATGATATATCTAAAAGCGGGCTTCACTATCTCGCCATGTTTAAGATATTTCAACGTATCATTTTTTGCATGTTTAACGAAAATTTTTCTTCTTGTTTAAGCTATATCATATATTGCAATGCTTAGGAAATTTTTCGATTTTCCAGTTTAAACTCAGTGTTTATTTCACAAAATTTGAAATTCTCAACTCTGTCCTTGAGTGCTGTCAGGGTACTCTCAGGGGTTGCATGTCTTGTTTCCAAATGTGACTGCTCAACTGCTATTAGTTTCCAAGATATGACGTTTTTCTATGGTTTTTTCAAAGTTTTCGAAGAAATTGGAAATAAAAGTTTTTAACAAAGTTTGAATTTTCCAACCTTGTAGTCGGGCGCTGTCTGATTACTCTCAGCGTTTGAAATTTTGCCTCCAAATGTGATTGCTCAATATCTTTTGGTTTCCGAGACATGTCATTTTTTTGATTTTTCAAAACTTTTCAAAAAACTAACATAAAAAACGTTTGTTTTGTTTTCGTGTTTATAATTTTTTTTGCCGAATAAAGTCAGACACCAAAAATAAACGTCAGAGGGGTTGAGTGGTATATCAAAAGTGGACTTTATCCTATGGTTAAACCGTCAAGCTTCATAGAATAAATTTTTTCGTGCTTTTTCGATACTTTGGCAATACTTGTCTTGGGTCCTTCTAAATGTGTTTTAAAATTTATAGAATATATTGCAGTTTCCTTTTATTCAGAGCAGATTTGTCCAATACATTGAACAGGAAGAATTCGCATGACAAAACCACCACTTCTGCATTCAAGTTTCTTGACGAAGATGCCTCAAGGGCGAAGCAGTCACAGTCACAGTCAGAAGTTGTTGGCAAATCTCCGGAGCCAACTTCGAATCAAGTGAACTATAACATACAGGGCAGTCAGCCGCTAAATAACGAGATCGAAAATGGGTCACCCTCTGCAGATTTGGGACAGACACAAACAATGACGAGAGATGACGAGAGAATGGACGAAATCATTGAGAACTACAATTCGGAAGGAAACCCAATGTCAGCGGGTGTTTCGCCCCAGGAGACAGAACGATTAGACAATATGCAAAGAGGTGGAATTGAAGCAGAGCCAGATAAACCAAAGGGTAATGGTTCCGGAGAAGTTGCTATGCAGCGATTGGAAAGTGTGGATCCGATAGAAGACCCGGAGCAGAGTTCGGCTTCTAGGAGTTTTGAACCGGGTGACTCGGAAGAAAGAGGCGCCAGCAGAGGTGAGAGGCAATGATACGACAACTGTTTTATATGACAAAGAAGTTGATATTACTTCTGGTTATAACTCTTTTATGAGTTGATATGGTTTCTTGTTTCCACTTCTGGTTACAACTGAAAGATGCATTGATAATCTCAACTTCCAAACGAAGATTGAACTACAGAATTAATAGAAACAGTATAATTCAAAATTTAACCATTTTTTCAAGAAGACTTTTTTTGTTTCAGAAGCAGTATCAAATGATCCAATTGTTGTCAGTATATCACAGGAAGTTCCTGATGATGAAAATCAGGAACAGACTGAAGTTGCTGAAGAGAAAACAGGAGCATCCGACGGTGCTGCTAAATTGGCAGAAAATGACAAGTCACTGGGCATTATGAACAGCACTCAGATTGCGGCACCGAAAGATAATAGCGGTAGCTTAGATAACAGCGATAACGGAAACTCAGAGAGAGTCATGCATAGTAATATGATCGGGTTGCCGAAAGACGAAAGCAAGAGTAATGATGCGAGCGAACATCAAAATTCTATTCGGGTGATGGACAGCAGGATGATAGGAGCTCCCAAGGATGATGGGAGTCGAAGCATTGACGCGGCCAGTCAAAATGCTAATTCTGCTCGTGTCATGGACAGTACTCTAGTGGCTGGACCCAAAGATTACAGTCGAAGCCTGGATGCCAGTGACAATAGTAGGAATTCAGAAAAAGTTGTACATAGTAACCTTGTCGGTCCCAGAGACGATGAAAATAGCACAGGGGTTAGTGAGAATCCTAACTCTATGAAAGTCATGGATAGCACAATGATTGGCGCTCCAAAAGAGGATAGCCGAAGTATGGAGGCTCCAAGTGATAATGCTAATTCGGCTCGAGTTATGGATAGTAGAATGGTTATTGCTCCCAAAGATGGCAGCGGGAGCTTAGACGATAGCGGTCATGGAGAGTCAAGCAGTAAAGCCGAACCGCAACGAGGTAATCCTATAATAATCTGAATAATCTGCGAGATAACTTAATACGAGTGAATGTATTACGAAGTGTTTTGATTAATTTTAGGCTTAGAACACGAGAATGCTCAGGAAAATGGAGAGACAAAGGCAGTGAATGGGGAGGCAATGGCAACTGCAGACAACACAATCAACATAGTCAGTACACCGGCAAATGAGACTATGGATAGAACAGCAGATGAAAGTGCTCAAGGTCCCGCAAGCAAATCGCGACTCACTGGTCTCGATGAATCAGGAGTCAAAGTAGGCTCAGAGGGTTCTGTTGAATACCACGAAACAGTACCAGAATCGAAACAAAATCAAGGCGCAGCCATAAAGGAACACCCAGACAGTGAGAGGAAAGACTCAGAAAAGTCAACTGGCAAAAACGTGCCATTTGTTGGCGTGCCCTCACATGAAAGCAATGCGGACGCCCCAAATCATTCAGAAGGAAATTCGGAGATGGAAGAAGAGAACAAGGATACGACGACGGAAGATGAACAGAAACTGTCGCAAGACGTCATTGCGTCACCTAACGAGTTACCGCCTATTGCGGAGACTTCGCGGGAACCGCTGAACTCATCGGTGACTGAAAACACCGAACGGCTTTCGGACAGTCGAATCCACAAGAGTGGAAGTCAGTTTGAAACAGAAGCTGGAACTGCTGGCAGTGATCAAAAGAAAGAAAATGAAGCGGAGAGGTCGGGACTCGAACCGCCGGCGACTGGTTCTTTGAAAGGAGATAGATCAGATGCTGACGCCGATGCAAGAACTACTGGTTCGAGAGAGACTATGGGGAGTTTAAAGAAGCATAAATCAAAGGGCGCTCGCAATTCTGTTACTGTGAATCCTCCGTTGCAGATCGTAGACAATACAGTAGTAGAAAAAGAAGAAGTTTCCGAAAGTCAGGCCAATAAAGACTCAGTGGTGCCCCACGAAGAGGGGAAGACGTTTGACACCGAGGATCCCAAGCAAGTCAAACCGAATACAGAGTGCCTGAAAGACGCAGAAGGAAAGGAACAGAAAGAGGAGAGTAAACCACAAGCGAAGAGTTTACACGATGCTGAGGCTGATGCTGCAAATTTGTCGGCACTGGCTGGAAATAAAACAGCGCCTCCGGTTGTTGCCGACGAGTCCAAAGGTGACGTAGGAGCAGATACGGATGTGGATGAGATAAACAAGAATATTTCCGGTGACAACATGGAAGGAGATGTTAAGGCACCAACTACAGCTTGTTGCATTCTGCTGTAAAAATACTGACCAATTGTCAAATTTAACGAAGAATGGATGTCACATAAAAGAGAATGCAATAAAATATTTTGCATAATTTATTTTAGCCTTAACCCATTTAAAGAGGTTCGTGTTTTTATTAGACAGTTATTACACAACAAAGCATGTGTGATAGTATGAACTACCTTTGTTTTCCAACCTAAGTCGCAAATATTAGTGTTCATTTTGAAAGAGTTCATTTTGATCATTAACCACCTATTAAGTACAGCCAATGCTAAGTTTGTTTTAGCGGTTTTTCTACACTTGTCTTGAAAGCTACCATCTCAAACCTGAATTTTTAGGTTCAATGAAGAAAAAAAGGATTGAGCAAAGCTCGTCTGTATAAGCATTTTTGTTCAATTTTTCTTGCACAAAAAAGTTATGGCCTTCAGATGTTTTGATTCCTTGTTCGTTTTGTTAAACTTTTGACTTCTCGAAAACAACTCAATCTGATACCAAAGGTTTAATCAAGGCAACAGGAAGCCTCCGTGTATTTTAGTTAAGCATTTAAGTTTAAACAAGAAACATGTTCTGGGAAAATTGCAAAATTACAATTTTTTCACTTATTATTTAATAGAGCAACAACCAAGTTTTTGGGTGAAGCCCAATGCTTAAATTTTTAAAACTACTTCATCCCGCATCAATACAACAACCCAAAAAATATCAAGCCGGTTCCAGCTTTAGCTGGGCCTCTAGTAGCACTTAAGCTTCAAGGTATCGTGGATATGTAGCGGAGAGGTAGTGAAGGAGACCCCAACAAAGTAAGAGGGTTCGTACCTGGGCAGGGTCAAAAAAGTGTTAATGAACTTTTTCGTATACTAGATAAAAGGCCTCCGCTAAATAAATGGAGGCATGTTAGTTGGTTTTTTTTTCTTCAAATTTACTGGCGTCTTTTTAGCAATTATGTAGACTCATAAATGGCATGAATCACTTAAGAAAATTGTAGACTCAAAGTTTTACTCATTCAGTTTCTCCCAGTAGCGTTTTCGGTCATATTTTTGCTTGTGTATGCGAAGTGCAATTTCGCCTCTGTGTGAATTGTAGGTAGTTATGATGAATATAAGAAAGCGTAAAACGTTTATTACACAAGTACTACTAGATAGACAGTTCCAATTTGGGCACTCCGGTATAAAAGTAGAAGATCTCATCGCGTGAGCTAGGTTTTCTCTGTTTTCTTAAGGAGTACATTGATCGATCCATCCATAGCTTTTCCTCCTACTACTTGAAGAGACTTTAAATAGGTGCATAAAACTTAAGTCGCGCCGTTGTTTTCAACAACCTTAATTTGTGAACAGAATTAAAGAAAGGCTCTTGTAACCAGGATTCAGTGCTCAATATACTATTATATCAGAGCAAATCTAGGTTTTTTTGAGAGGCAAGTTTTCAAAAAATCAGTTTTCTTTCAAGTCGAGAAAATTGTTTTTCCGTTGTCCCCTATAGCACTTTAAAAATTCTATTTTGCCGTAGTATTGTGAGTCGCTGGTAAAAAGCGGGGCGAAACTGCTGTTCTAAGGCAGTTTTGAAGCTCCCCTCATATTTTTTTTGTACTGGAGACAAGAGCGAAAAGCAATATCACAAGCCAGATGAACTGAGTTATCAATGGTTGAAAGCCTCGAGTAGGGAGGCATCCGATCCGATTCAGATAGCTTTTTCTCGAAACCGCAGACCTCTTTTTCCATGAGACCCTTTTCACGCAAGCAAACACTTTCTAGTTCTATTTTATACAATTGCGAGAGTATTATGTGTCTTGTAATCGGGAATAGTCTTTCCGTAAGCACCTTTTCTTGCTGCCTTTATCTTTGAACCTGATTAACTTCCAGATTCATTCCCATTTGGTTTAGAGGTAAGGCGATTGTCTTTGTACCTCTAGGTCTGGGGTTCGAGTAACGTCCGGGCCTTGTTTTTCTTCAATTTTTATCAAATGGATTTTTTTTCGGGAATGATTGAGTGTCGGAGTTTCGTGTGTCTGTTTTTTTTGCGTTCTTCTCTTGGGAAAGGTAGGGTAAGTGCCATTTGCGGCTCTTTGTACAACCGTCGGGTCATTCACTCGAAGGCGGATCTTCTGGACGCCTCTGCTTGTGTTTCGTTGGCTTGATTACAACGTCGGGGACTTTTTCTCTGCTGTTAGCATTTTTAATAATTTATCGTAATTTACTCACGTTATTTACCCCTGTAAGCATTTATAATACTTTTCATTGTAATTTACTCCTGTAAACTGTAAAATTAAAAGCCCTGATATTGTATATATAGTTTTTGGTTTCCTGTTCAAATTCGATGAACGGAATAAAGAAATTACCTATTGATCCCCAGTTTTCTCAGATTGGGTCATTTTTATCGAAAAAGTGCCGATTATAAATTGTTTTAGAAATTCAAAGAGCTTTAAAGGCATCTATTTTTTTCTTTTATATTCGAGGTTTTGTTGATGTTTTTTCAATTGTTTTTTGGTTGAGGTTATTTCAATTGTTGAGGTTTTTTCAATTGTTTTTTGGTTGAGGTTTTTTCAATTGTTGAGGTTTTTTTCTATTGTTTTTTGGCTATTTTTTTTGCTCAAAAACTTTACTCGACCTCAATTGTTTCGGGTTATGTTTTATTGGCTTTGATACTTCATTTTGTCTAGCTTCAATGGCAAAAAGTGATTAATTTTTTCTTAAAATTTCACGTAGTTCGCGTTGAAGATTTCAAATTTATTAATCTTAATTGCTCAGTTTTTTTAAAGACTGTTATCTCTAATGGAATTAATTGCTCTCCGGCCCAATGGGCGTCTACTCAGTTTTGCTCGGCTTAGTGGCCGCTCGCTCGCACGATGTAAAGTATGGAAAACAGTTATGTTCACAATAGTTCGCTTGTTCATTATTCACATTTTCATTTCACCATTAAAGCGCTAAATTTGTTTTATTACATATAAATTCAAAAGTGAGGGAAAAGTGGAAATAGCCAAAAGTTATTTTGGTGAATCTGCTATCGGAGTTTACACCGAGCTGCACAACATATGGCAACTATGACCAGGATGTTCACATTTATCAGTTTTCGCAAAGTTTGCGGTTTTCTTCGATTTAGTTTGTTTGCGAAGTGCAACTTTGTTTCGGTGTGAAATTGTTCATAGTACAAAATAAGACTACATGAGCCTCAGTATAATACATCGCTCGGCCTAGTTCGATTTGTGTTAGCTGATTCTGCGTGGAAAAACAAACAAACAGCAATGGTAGGAACAAAAAACAAGCTTTTGGCTATTTCTAAGCTAGTTTTCATTTGTTCAACTTGTGTTTTATGGCTCCGATTAATCGAATCACGTCATTTCACGTTACAATTTGAAATAGGAACTTAAGAAAAAACGAATTTTTTGTTCCGGCAAAGAAGTGACGGAGTATTTGTGCTGGGTGATTTTTTTTCAACTACCCGTTTTTGGGTATGAGTGTTTGCAAATGGACCATTTGAGATAAGTGTGTGCAATATTTCTGAAAATGCATCATACAGGCGGAGAATTAATACGACTGAAAAATCATTCCAAATTGGTATTTTTTTTTGGTGCGTGGGGAAAAATTACCCATAAAAAACTTTCTGAAAAATAAATTGATTTTTTTGAAATCAAAAACTGATTGAGATACATAATAGGGAAGTCGAAACTTTCAAGGCTTTGGCTGAATACGAGGAGTCTTGTCTAGTCTCGTCTTTAACATTATTTTGTCATTTTTCTGGATGTCATTTTTTTAAATAAAAGTGAAACATGATTTTTATGGCTTTAGCGCCAAATATTTACGAGCTAGGTATAAAAAAAGTTTTTTTTTCACCTAATCAAACAACAAAAATATTAAACAATGAAACAGCTAGTTGTCAAGAATACTAGACTGCTGTTGGAAATAAGCGGGAAAGATAAGAAGACAGTCACATTTGGTCAAAAAGCTCGAATAAAGTGGAAAATTTCTGGAAATCTTTAAAACTTTTTGCTCAATTGTTTTGAGCGAGTTTTTGTAGCCGAATTACTAATGAAACGGCTGCGCTATGGTGTATGAGCCGACATTATCAGACCTTTGTTTGGGCGAAGAAAGGCCCCAATTCTATCCTTTTTCTTCTAACGTCTTCCGGAGCAATAAGAACTTCAGTGTGTTTCTCTGGCTCTATTCATTCCCGATACTGGCCGAAACAGCTTTTCAGTATTTGTTATATAGTGAATGACTCCTTATCATCATTTGAATTTTGTCTGTCGACTATTAAGCATAAACTGAAAATGTTTATACTCGTTAATTCTCGAAAACTGGGAAGTAAGTATGGCGTAGGTTCCATATAAAATTTTTTCCTTTTTTTAAATTTGATCCTTTTAAAAAAATTGTCATCAACTTGCATTATTATTGAATCTTAACAACTAACAGGTTCATTTGCACTTGGCTTAGAAGTAATAGGTCAGGGATTCGAATCTCGGTCGGACCTTTTTTTTCTGCATGTGTGGAATCGGGGTTGGATCTAGGTTTTTCTCGAGAGGGGAAGGGGACGATTTTTCAAAGAAAAAATTGAACATTTTGTCGACCTTTTTTTTAGGTCGACCAAATTGATTTTCTGAGCTCTCCCAAAACACTTATCTATTTATTAGCCGCTGGCCTGCTCAGTGCAGGACTAACCGTGGGGGAGGGGGAGATGTCATCTATTTCGCCGCAGCCGCTCCCACCTTGAGGAGGCGGATGACACTGGGACCCCTCCAGCCGTGACCGAAGCGGGATTCGAACGCATGACCCGCGTGCTGAGAGACATGTGCCTAACCCACTCGACCACGGCTGCTTCCCAAAACACTAAAAGGACCCTGTTTTGGTCAAATTTTCTGTGCCGCAGGCAAAATTTTGAAAAAAAAAAACAGCAAAAGAGGCGTTTTTATGCACTTCGAAAAGTTTCGACCAAAAAATAGCGTTTTTTCTGCACTCTTCCTCTAATTAAGATATATTGGCGCATTTAGAAAATTTTTAGGGCCCGTCACCAAAAATAAATATCTCAAAATAGTACAAAGGGGGCCCATTTGGGTCGGCAGGCGGTCGAATCCCTGAGT